GAAGTTTAGGTGCCAAAATATACCCCAAAAATTGGGTTCGGCTTATCAGTGGATGGGTGTATATGTGCACCCCCAATAGACAGACAGACAGACAGACAGACAGACAGATAGATAGATAGATAGATAGATAGATAGATAGATAGATAGAATATGCATGTATTACTGTACTAATATATTATGTATGTTATAAAACACTCCAAAATCAAAAATCAAAAAGAATGAGATAAAGGATAAGATAGATAAATATCAATAGATGTTCTGATATTTTCTTTCTGCACCCAAGTGAATCATCTTGCACACCCCTACAGTCTGTACATGTTGCAGACCACTATTCTAGTTACCTCTGTGCCAATTTTGTTATCTGGAAAATTCAATTTCCTGCAAGTTCCAGCTGAAATCTGAGGTTGAAGTAAGGGAAAATGGAGAGTCCCATGCATTTCCAACTTCATGTCCCGAAACTTCTGTTTTCAAAAGGAGAAAACCTAACTAGCAGAATGGGAGGGGAGTTGGGGAAACTAGCTTGTTGTATATGTGCCAAAACCTATGTATATCTGCTTGAGGTTGAAAAAAATTCTGATTCTCTGTCTGGCATGTAGCTGTCATCTTGTCTGTTTAAACTACATATTTGAAACCGACCTTTTTCTAAGCAGATACTCACCAAATCACTATTTTCATTCATTCTTGAGTCTGAATGGTCCAGTCACTTTTTCAGTACTCTCTCACCGCTTTTCCACTAATCTAACCTAACAAAATAGTTTCCCCCCCGGATCGTATGAATTCAGAATGTTGTGTATTTTTCTCAAAAGTCATTCCATTCTATCTCTATTATTACCATTTTGTGGATCAAAACACGCACTCACCATCACCTTATGAATATCTACTTTCAGTACACTCAAGACAATCTACATGACATCAGTTCATGCTTTTTGACATTAATTTTACCCCTTTCATAATGAAATTTCATTCCAGAAATGTATTTGTCAACACCACAAGATCAGGCAACCTTCATTCAGCCCTTCATCCTTTTCCTTCCTGTTAGTTTAACAAACTCTCAGCATAAGTATTTTTTTAAAATGTTGTTTATTATTTGATGCCCTTTACCTTTTACATCTCTTACATTCCAAGTTGCAATGTCCAAATGTCATAGTTTTCTCCAGATTGAGCCATATATATTAGTGTCCATTATCTGTCATGATCTTTGTCAATCAAAGCTTCCAGATAATGTTTTAATAACAGAAGTAAAAAGTAAATTAGGGTAGCTACTAGTTTCAATCATATTCATGCCACCCATATCATTCTCTGCTAAAAATAGCAATTTGTTGTTCAGTCGTTAAGTCATGTCCAACTCTTTGTA